GCCAAATTACTTTAGATTTAGCTTGTGTCAACTTTGATACTTTTTCTTTTTCTTATTATTTGTTGTGAATCTCAAAATGAAATGTAATCTTATTTTTATTATTGTTCAACTCTTTTTGCATTATCCATTCCATGAGATGTGTGATCATGGGCGGTTCTAGACAGGGGCCAGTGCCCCTGTAAATGATGCATTGCCCCATTTGTTAATTTTTTTTGTACATTGAAAAATTTTTTTTGAACTTAATCCATTTTTCTGACACGCTTTATCGCTAGGTCATGAGGGGTGCTGGTGCCTATCTCCAACTGTCTACAGGTAAGAGGTGGGGTAGACCCTGGACAGGTCGCCAGTCCATTGCAGGGCAACACAGACACAAACAACCACTCCTACACACTTTCACACCTAAGGAGAATTTAGAGAAGTTGGAAGATGCCGGAGCACCCAGAGAGAACCCACGCATGCTCAGGGAGAACATGCAAACCCCATGCAGAAAGGCCGGGAATTGAACCCCGAACCTTCTTGCTGCAAGGCATCAGTGCTACCCACTGCAGCACTGAGCAGCTCATCAATTTACCTTAATAATTTAATTGAAATACAGAATATACATATATTACCAAGATTCTCACACAAAGTGATACATTGAAGGTTTTTATTTTTGTTAAATTCAAATAAAATCGCTTAGGTTTGGCTCAATGAGAAAAGAAATCAGTTTATTGTAAATAATAATAATAAAGGGCATTTTTATATTATAGCTATTTATTATGTAAAGACCGGTGCTAAAGAAGGTGGCTTTTCATAGATTGTGTTATATGAGCACAACAATAATAGAAATAAAAAAAAAAATAAAGGAAAGAATGCAGGGATAAAAACAGAGACCGAGAGATCTTCTCCAAACCTTTATCTATTTTCTGCAATATAAACATTCATAAAGCAACTGAATTCAGAGTTTTACATCAGTGGTAAAATCTAGATGCATGCAATACATCTGTGTCTGGGTAGTAAATGATTAAACTTTTGAGTTTCTCTACTGGAATGATTAATCTTTGACATTATAATAAATAACATGGCAGTACTATTCTTATGATATGCTTTAGATCTCCTCTGTGCAATAAAGAATTAAACATTGCATCTTTTTTAAGCCACTTGTTAAAAGGGTAAACATTTTCAATCAAGTTCTATTTAGTAATAGTAATAATGTGTGGATTTTTCCCCAGTAGACTCAATGTTTCAAAACTCTTAAACATTTTTTTAAGTTTCTGTACACAACAGCAATCCATATATTACAATCTCAAATAGAGTTTTGAATCTAGGCTCTGAAAAGTCTTGAAATAACCCTTTAGTTCAGTGCTGACTCGAAGTTCTCATTCGGATACGAACATCAGCACTGGTCTTTTACTGTGGTCTCTTTAAGCTTCCTTCAGCTGCGCAGCGTCACGCTTTTTCACTGCGCACGATGTTAGGCAAGAAACCCAACGCAACTGCTTTGGTGAATACAACCAAACACCGGGATGCGCAGAGGCTGCTATAAACGGATATCTATGGCTATAAACCGGTTGAGTAAAGTTGGCCGGGTTTCAGTCACGTGATGATTATGACGCGGCCAGGGGGCGCGATTTCAGATGGAGGGCAGGAAGTCTATGAAGTTAGTGTAAACATGGAGGATACCGTTACCAAGAGCCCGTATTGTATGGAGTTAGAGCCTGTTTCAAGACACAGATACAAGGAGTTGATATACAGATATGTTGGACGTGACCCGTACCTCATGAAGATGAGTGAGTTTTCGGTGGACCTTAAAGATTTGCCGACAGTGGAGGCCGTCGACATAACGAAGTATCTGGTCCTTCAGACGTCGTATTACACCAAACAGCAAATGAAGGCCTATAAATGTATGAAGGCATATAACTTCTTTGTCAGCGGGTGGGTCCCCAACCTCGGCACCAAACGTCTCCACAACGATTATTGTCTAGTCTTCGCCAGGGTGAGTGTTTGTTCTTATATTGTTTTATGTGTTAAAAGATGCTAGCGTTAGCAGTAGCGGCTAGCCTCACAGTTGTTTATGTTTCTCTCGTTGAAGAGATGCTTCTGATTTGGGCTTAGTTTTTTGATAACCGGGGTTGACCGTCGGAGCCCAGTCTACCGATTCAACGTCACCCAAAGCGCTAGGACAGCATAAACAGTCACAATGAAGTCCATATTAGACTACCGGTCACTTACTAATCATTACTAAGTACATGAGCATTTAACGATAACCTTATGCTATATAAACACAACCACAAAAAAAAGTTAGCTAGCTAACATAACGTTATAGCTTACCTCCGACGAAGTGGTCACTGCAGACACGGGCATTTGCAGACTCTGCTCCTTCAGATCGCAGACGTAGGTTTAGAATCCATTTTTTTCGGCGTTGTTCTGTGAGCTTTTTACAATTTTCACCTTTATGGACGACAATCTTTGGTACTCTGTAAAAGCTCTTTTCCTTTTCTCGGTTAGAACGATTGGAGCAGCCGTAAACTACACAAAACATAGGCATTATTTCAGACGGCAGATCCTCAGCTACTTCACTTCCTGCCCTCCATCTGAGTTTCGCGGGCTCGTGACGCAGCACTGTGACGTCACGTGAAACCAAGCTATAAGCACTTATAATGCCACGTATCAAAGAACTATGAATAAATTATACAATTTTTTTTTTCTTTTTTCTTTTTACAACAGCAGACTTTTATTTCAGCAGTGTACTTTTAAAATGATGTAATCATTAATGCATAAATGATAAATGATTTTTACACTTTTATGACATAAACGGGAATGGATTGTAGATTTTTTTTTTATAGTAACACTGATTACTTACTTACTTATAAATAATATTATTACAATACTGGTTAACTATATTTAAGTAAATTATGATGCATTGCTCTTGATTTTACCACAGTTATTAAAGTTCTTCCACCTTCAAGTAATTTGGTCTAGCACTTTATCGATTCCAAGGACCAATAATTTAAATGTAAATGTTTGCTCTATTTTAATACTGAATATTTGTAATTATTCACTCAGTCTCTTGTTTGTCATGTTTGTAAATGTGAATTGGTTCTCAAACTGTTTACCCGAATAAATAGAGGTTACATAAATAAATAGATAAATAAACTCAACATATAATCATTTCACACATTCACGGATTAATGGAGGTGAGCTATGTTGTAGCCACAGCTGCCTTGGGGCACATTGACAGAAGCGAAGCTGCCACCAGGAACATGCAGCACATCAGGTGGGAAGAGAAGATAACACTTAGGACCTACCGCTGCTTTGACATAACACGATGGTGGCAGTGCCATGCTGTGGGGATGCCTTCTTTCAGCAAATAGGGAAGTGGGTCTGTTTGATGGGCAGAAGGTGGACAAATCAGAACACAAAATGTAATTGGACTAGACATTTAAACAACAGAAAATGTTCATGACTGTTTTGATAATCTAATACCTTTTTATATCATGTTTATTTGAAGCCAGACAATCGATTCAGTTCTTTAGCTTAAATTCCTTTAGCGATTCACTGCTTCATGTAGTGGAGAAGAATCTCAATCTTGGTCCTCAGTAATTATGGCACCAATTATCTCTGTCATGTTAAAGAAAATGGTGAGCTGAAAGGCATAGTTTTTAAGCCACTATTCCATCTATGTTCTCGCCTTCACAGTGGCAAGGAGATTTAAACCATTTGTGATGGATGGATGGATGGATGGATGGATGGATGGATGGATGGATGGATGGATGGATGGATGGATGGATGGATGGATCCCTTCTTCAACACACCTAAAACAGATGCATTTTTAACGGCCAGGCTTCTCTCAAACTTACCAACATGCTAGGGAGGTAATTTGGCCTTTTATTTGAGATGTTTTGGAGAAGGCATGCATACAAAAGATCCAGGACAGTGGCACTTGAGGAACAACGTAGCTTTCCCCTGATCTAAAGCAAATATTTACTGCAATATCTGGATAATTTATGTGATTATTTTGTTAAATTATTGCAGCAATAGTCAGTTTATTCCTGTGTAAAGACATTCAGTCAAATTTAGAAATACTTTGAGGCAAACCTAATGTTGTAATCCTTATTGTGGTTTCTTTAAAGATGTTAATAGCTGTAGACAGGAAGGATCTGCTGTAGTGGCCTACAGATTATCTGGATGAGATTATATTATATTATATATGATTTCTCAAAACCAACAGTAAGCAATATATTTTATTCCCAGTTTTACTGTCAGTACTGTTAAGGCTAAAAAAATATAATATATAATATATAAGGATGCTATCTCAAAAATTTCACCATCTGCAGTCTAGAATAAATAACTTTATTGACAATATTTATGGAAAAAAAGGCTCAGTGCCAAAAATACTCTATTTAATTGAAATGAGCTATATCAGGTTTACTGTGTTATACCCTCAGACAAAACAGCAAAAGTTAAACTTGCGGTATAAAACATTTTTATTCTTTGCAAATGCTTTTTTTTTTTTTTTTTACATCCTCTCGACTGTTTCATATTTTCCACGTTTGTGCATTAAAACCAAAACAAAGATCTTTTTTTTTTTATATCTGAGAGTGCGTGGGAGATTCACACCACAAACTTTAGCACCCATGAACTACATTTGAATAAGTCGGTGGTGAGATAACCTTCCTGCAGTCACAGAATATAATATATCATATCAATGCTGGAAGCGCTAACTCGAAATTAGTTCAATTCTTACAAATTTTTTTGCTAATTTTTCCCTTTTTTAACCAAGTCAAACCTTCAAATTCTACTGCAGTTTGATCCATTTTCTAAATGACAGCTCTTAGTAAACATGCTCTACTTCTTGTTCTTTATTATTTGATCGCTGAAATCTGAAATTTCAGCGATAAAGTGGACTTCCAGCAGGGATGCCCTGTGACTGCAGGAGGATCCCTCTCCAAGAGGAGATACATTTCTTCTGCTGGTCGAAGTAGATATGAAGATGAAAGGAGCAGGATACAAAGCAATCCTTGTTACAACCTGTCAGAGGCGGCAAATTTATTTGGAAATGAAACTCGATATACTGCCAGAACGACATAGGGTGGGGCGAATTGGATTTGAGTCAAAGTACATTCATGTGTTACAACTGATTTTTTAAGATGTAGGTAAAGATTTCAGTCTCTAGATGTGTAAAGCTGGTAGATACATCCCAGAAATAAAAAGTATTGCAGCAAAAATTGCAGAAAATTATAATTTCTAAAAAAAAATCCAACTATTCCATTAATAATAATAAAAAAAAGATAATTCCAAAGCACTGCGTCTCTTTCATTGTACTGGACTGAAGGTACCAGATATGAGTCAGTTACAGGCCTAGGTCAGGGTGACCCACCACTTTATTGGAGCTATATGAGAAGCCTCCATTTTTGGTAGCAGATAAAGGATCCCCTGAGGTGAAGATGTGCTGTTGTATGAGCGGCCAAAACAACGGTGGAGGTATGAGCTCGGTGGACAGAAGCGGCTGCTGAGGTGGCTGACAGAAATGCTCTGCAGCCACAAAGGAGAAAACTGGAGGGGAGGGGAGCGAAGGTGTAAACCGAGACACATCAGAGTTTGAGTCCTTGTTTTTTTCAACACTGGGAGCGAAAGATGGACATCGACGTGGAGAGAGCTGGCTCTCAGTGTGTGATGTAATCTTGTCCGGTTTGTCTTCTGCCTTTATTTCCTGTGGTCCCATCCTGCTGTTCTGCAGAACATCATCCAAACAGGCCTCTCTTGGAAGAGACGAGCTTCTCTGACCTTTTCGAAACTTTGCCCTCCGGTTTTTGAACCATACCTACACAAGAAATGGCAAAGAGAGAAAGTTTAATATTATTTTGGAACCACTAACAATACTTTAATGCGACTAAAAATCAGCAGCAGTCGTCGAGGCAGCCTCATTTTCAAAAGAGATCATTTTTAAAACAATTTTAAACACAAAAAAAATCAAAAGTGCTGTTTTGCTCTCCTATTACTAATAAAAAAGATCAATACATAAGTCTGAAAAAATGTCTTGTGAAAAACTCAGTGAAACAATATAAAGAAGTAAGGAGTGTCTATGATAAGGTACTTGTAGCTGTCCTTTGAAGTTATTTTAATTTGGTTACTGGCTTAGTTCTTTGTTATCCGTGATGACATCAGTTCTTAAGGACCTTTATACCGGGATATTTCATAAGCCAAAGATAATTGGTCAAACAAACATTCAAGACTAAACATTGATATAAGAATATAGGTGCATAAAATAAGGACTTCCATAAGCCTGCTAAACTGAGGATCAAAGTTTACAATAAAATACAACTTCTTAGACACAAAATATAAAGGAATGAATCAGGACATTTGCACATTGCTGTAAGTATGAGTCATGCAAGAATTGGAGGGTGGTGCCACCTGAATGCGAGCCTCAGGCAGGTTGATACACATGGCCAGCCTCTCCCTCATGCTAACATCTGGGTACTGTGTTTGCTGGAAGGCCTTTTCCAAAGCCTGCAGCTGCGACACTGTAAAAGCAGTACGGCTGCGTCGCTGCTTCTGTTGGTTCCCATAGCGAGCCTCCAGGATCAGCTCTGACAGGAAAAACAGGAGAGCAAAAGGGACAAACCATTAATCAAGATCTGGGTACAGAGGCGTATAGCCACAAAATTAAAAAAAAAGGTGGCCAGGCAATATCCAATGAACAATGAGGGGTGGCCAAAAGTGGAAAGGCACCAGAACTTCAGGGTCAATCTACACTGTTCCAAAAGGAAAATGAACAATCACAACATCCATATATTCTAAATAAAGACAATCCATATTTTCCTACAGCCTTTGCTAACAAATAGATGCATATATTTAAACATCCATGCTGTCTAAATTAAAGGTGTTGTGGACAGAATTCATTCAGTTTTCAGTTCTGGGGTGTACATCTTATTCATTGTCATTACTCACCTACTTTTATTAATAATCATTCTGCATAATATTAATATTTACATGTACTAATATCTACATTAAATTGATTACTTATTATTAAAGTAGTAATGATCTCTGATTTCAGTGAAGATTCCTAGATGACTTGCAGAGACATAATTTTGTCCCCATATAAGACAAAATCAAGTTCTGAAAAGAGCATGAATTCTGTATTTAACTTTAATGTTAGTATATTGATGTGCATAATTAACCACAGTGTTTTTGTTATCAGCTAATTTTTTTACATATAGAATATAAAATGTTAAATAAGTCAGAAAATTTCACTTGAGAGTATTACTTCTGCCACTGTCTGTATTAGAGGGGAAAATGGTAGGGGTGTCCACAGGGGTGGCCAATGATTGGGTAAGGGTGGCTATGGCCACCCCTGGCCCCCCATCTTGCTCCGCCCGTGATATAAAACATACTGCTGCATCCATATATCTATGTTTTATATTTTTCTTATCCTTCATATCAGGAATGTACAATTTAGGCCAACTTTCATTTTTTGACCTTGCTGTTTTTTGTATGTGTGGTTTTCATGGAAAAAGTATTTACCTATTTCAATATTTTTGATTTAATATCACATTTAAATGTTGCATAAAATGGATCATATTTAAGTATCTAAATACAAGCATCAGAGTAAAAGTTACAGAAAAATACAGTTTCAGTGAACCTTTTCAGCAGGAGAAATGTGTTTTTATCAGAGTTTGACGTCACACCTGCAAGTCTCTCTGCCACTGAGAAGGTGTGAGCTGCTGGGGCAGCAGCCTGGTACTGCTGCGCCATCTGGTGGCGGAGATCGAATAGCACCGAGTTCACACCGTGGAGAGGGTACATGGCGCTGCACGCGGTCCCGTAGAAACTCTGGGAGTTCATCAAGGATTTGGTGATTTTCTAACTTTACTGCAGACATAAACTCGTAAAACACCCTGGGAAAAAAAGAAAAGAAAATAACAATCTAACGAAACGTTTGAGGAGGGAAAACTTTTAAGCTGGTGGAAAAAATCTAGATGTTAATGAATGAAATAAGTAATTACATTATATGATTTATAAATCAAGAAAATAAAAGCATAGGACACTAAACACCATGAGAAGATCTAAAACAAAACGTTAAAAGAAATATTCCGAAATATTATTTTTCAAACAGATTATTATAGTAATAGTAATAACAAGTAATTTCTTTTTTTTTAGAATGGTTTAACTCTTCCAAAAGCTTTGCAATGAAAATTTATTTTGGCGTTGCAGAAAATATGTAGAATATTTATTATCACATTATATACGAAATAGGACCAAATTCAAAGTGTCATGCATTAATGAGCCTGGTATTAATGTGCTGGTGAAGATTGGATTTAAGGATTTGATTAAAGGATATCTGACCAAATAGATACACTCAAATATCCTCCAAATGCTCTAAGCTGGAGTATATTTTTAATGGCTTAAATCTGAATTTTAAAGGCATGAGAATCATTGTTTTTTAAGTTTACAGTAGGTAGTAGATGCCAATAAGAAAAATGCAAAGAAAAAAAAACAAAAACAAAGTTGAGTTAAAAACAAAGAACTATGTAATGTTGACCAAAAAAAGAAAACTATGTAGCTTCTTCACACTTTGGGTAAAACAATTAAATAGATACTGAATTTTGAAATATAATAGATATGTAAAAAATCTAACAAAGCATTCTGGGCCTTAGGCCTTTTTTAAAATCCTAAAACGTAACAACAGAATAAAAACAATATACCATTACTTCAAATGGTTTAACTTATTTTCACAAAAAGGGCAGAAAATCATAATTCCAACCAAATCAGCTCAAGCAAAAGTGATTTGACTGGTGGATACATCACAGATAACCTTTATCACGTTTCAGCACTACTTTTTATTTAATTTAACTGATTACCTGAGATCCTGACTGTGTGCAGATCAGGTGAGTTTCCCAAAGAAGTAGTTAGCACGTCCAGAATCTTTACTCCACTTAAGGCCTTAATTAATCCTCATCCAACAGCTCCTTTTCCTGTAATTTTGTGGACTTGCTTCTCCGCAACCATTCTCACCCTGGACTATTTAAGATGCCTTTACCCAGGCTCCCCTCAGCCATTAGCCAATGGGAAGGAAGGTATTAGCTGGGATTAGGTGGGATGAGGGAGGAGAGGGGGGCAGCCAGGAGCTCAAGTTTTGGGAAACTATTGAACTTGAGAGATTTATGCCAGGGATCGCCCAATAAGAGCGCGCTCCATTCCCTCCCCAGTTAAAACAATTAAAACAATGTGGTGGGCTAATCTCCGAGGCAGGACAGATTAAAATAACAGCATTTGATTGTCCTCTCCTTCTCAGTTTGCTGACAGCCCCCCAACCACTGCTCCTCCCTGATGGGGGGTTTGCTTTGCTAACCGCCACCATATTTTGCCTATGAACTGTCACAATGAGAAGTTAATCCGAGCCCTGCCTAGTGAGAACAGTTTCTTAAAATCCTACTGAAATAAATTAAGTGTTCTCAAGAAGCAAATCCAAAACCAAAACTGCAGATTATAAGAGAAATATGAAGCTTTTGAATGATGTTCCTGACATTAAAGGAGAGTTTCAGCTAATTTTGGGATGTCAGCTTTTATACTTCTGTATAGAACTTTGTTTACAGAATAAAATTAACATTTACGGCTGTTAATAATGCAGATAGTCATTTTAAACTCATATATTAATCTTTGTGCAACAACTCTTAAGAATCGTTATTTATCAAAGCTTTTAGAAATCTGAAAAATTATCAAATTCTAAGGAGCTTTATTAAGGTGAGTGATGTAAATATGGAGCTCTGATAAAAAACGCATTACTTGAAATATGTGCTACATCCCAGTTCTTCACTCATAAACCAATTTTGTGAAAAATCTAAAAAGTAGACAACATTTGTTTAGTCCATTTGCCTTTAGTACAAATTCTGTACAGTCAGTTAAAAGCCAAAGTGCTGCAAAAATAAATAAAGTCCACCTGCTTGTAATTTAATCCTGGTTTAAAATCAGCTTTTCTCTAAAGGCCCAGCATACATTGTTAGAGACCATTGATGGAAAAAAACGACCATAAAAAACCTGGGACACAGCATAAAGGCCAGGGAGAAAGAGGTAGATAATTTAGGTTTACAATCTTAAAATGGAAAGCCAATGGGAAGAAAGAGGTAAGTAAAAAAGCTTTATTTGTATATCACCTTTCTCAGATAAGCGTCCAAAAGTGCTGCACAATATGAGGCATAAATACAAAACAGCATCATATAAAATTGACAAATTACATATTACATGTATTGACAAAATACATACAATCATAAAAGCCCTTAATAAAGTGAGTCTTAAATGCTTGTTAAAAAATGAAATTTTTTTAGTTGTTTTTTAAAATCATCCATGGAGTTCACCAGCGCAGGTAAAGTGGTGGTACATTCCACAGTCTGGGTGCAACAGCTTGGAGGGACATATCACCTCTTGTCCTAAAACAAGTTCTAGTGACCATTAACAGGTTATTTCCAGCAGATCTCAGACTGTGAACAGCAAAGTGAGGCTGAATTAAGTTGCAGATGTAAGAGGGAGCCTGTCCAAGCAGGACTCTAAAGGCCAGGACCAGAATTTTAAAGTTTATGCAGTATTCAAAGGGAAACCAGTGTAGAGCTTTGAGGACAGGAGTTATGTGGGCTCTTCTGGTTCTACGTAGGTTAGCTTTCAACCCATCAACACATGGTGGTCCAGCTAAACTGAGAGAGCATTAACCTGAGAGCATCTAACATGAGGCCTGAGGCGACTCTGGATGAGCTGCTGAGATCTGTCTTCAAACTTGGGCTTTATAAAAGAGAGACAAGAAAGAAACCACGACTGAAGAAAAGAAACAATAAACTTAGGTTAACAATTTACCAAAAGCCATAGGAGCCACTGTAGACATACAATCAAACATGTGTTTTAGGTCCACATGATGAATTTTTCCCATACACCCTAAAATGTCAACCCTACCATGAAAATGTTTTTATTTAACACACCTTTGCTTTGAAAGCAATAATCAATGGAAGCTTGAGACTTACAAAAAAGACACAAAGATAAAATGTCTCAAAATGAAAGTAAAATTTAGAAAAGCTCAAATGTTAGTAATATGAATGAAAAAAAGAAAAACAATGCCTGACTAAATAAGTCTTTATCTGGTTCTTGAAAAATTGCATCAGATTCACAGAACATAAGCACAGGGGTGGCAGCATCATGCTATGGGTATGCTGTTCAACAGCAAAAAATTAGGAATAAAAATGGGAAGATTAATTGAGTTATGAGAGATGAATGTACACAGAAACCCGTTGGAGGGTATAAAACTTTCCACTGGAAAAATGCTCCCAGCTAAAAAAAAAAAATAAGATAAAAAATTAACATAGATCAACAGTAGAATAGTTTACATCAAAGCAAATGCACGTGTTAGAATGGCCTAGTCAAAGCCCAGATCTAAATACCTATGAGAATAATTATAAATTGTTTATCACAAATTTGCTCCATTATTTTTGACTAAAGTTAAAAGTATAGAGGGCGATCTTTTACTTCCGGGTGGATCATCGAAATAAGTGGTCCTCCTAATTGTCAATCATTCCGGTGATATGTTTACGTAAGGCTGTCTTATGTTCCCGTCCCATTAGCTATATTTCTCTGCGCATGTGTACTTTCAGGCATATATGTGTGGTGAGCTATGATTTCAGAAAGTCATTGAAGCTCACCTTTCTCATTGCGGTTCTTTGAAAACGGCCGAGGGTTGTAAGAGAAAAAGTGTCTACGAAGTGTATGAGAAGAAAAGAAAGTCCTCAGAAGAGGCAGATATATCCCACGGAGAGGTCTCCTTGCAAAGCATTAAAGGATGTGCCGTCACAGCGGCTAATAACAAAGATGGCGCAGGCACTGCACAGTGAAGGAGGAGTTAGGTGACCCACGGAGCAAAAATCAGTGATCATCTGTCCAAACAGTCAGTTAATAGAGTTCCCAATAAAGTCCACTATATAGTCCCAGCTCTATATAGTGATTGAGGGATTTAGGGGTTAGGGCGGATGTTCAGACACAGTAAGCTTGAATGAGCTATGAGAATAGAAACTTTTAAACAGAGCGTGCATGAGGAGAAAAAGGCTCCTCTATGCTCTCGCACGCGCATTTTTTAAAAGTGAAGATGGCGGCTCTTTTAAAAAAAGTCGCAAAAAAAACTCCAGAATAACCTTTAAGCTTTTTCACTAAGTTGGTAGAACTTTAGAGATATAACTAGAGAAATTTACAAACACATATTGATTTCATTCCACGTCTTAATCATTCTCAGCTCGTTTTTGTCTATTCTATAAAATACTAACACAATTTGCAGAAGTTTGCAGTATTAGCATGACAGATAATAATTCCCCGAGGCAGTAGTGCACGCTTTTATTTTATTCTAGAGCTGTGATTTCCAAAACTGACATTTGGCAGCCTTTACTTTCCTTAGAAAATAAATGAAAAATTAATTTTTTATTTGGTTTCAACCCAGTATGCAGTCCAACAAATAAAAACGGAGTGATTTTTTAACATTAGTTTTAAGGATGGTAAAACAACCAGTAGGTTTGTTTGAAGTTTTTTACCAGGTAAAAGTGCAGCTTTACCATTTAATGCAACAGGTACATTCCTGCAGAGAAAAAGATCATGTCTCTATGAAGATTCCCAGCTGAAGTTGGAACAGCAATTATGGCTCACCTCCTCTGTTCACATTTGAACACATTCAACTGCTCAGACTTCCAAGATATGTGAAAATGTTTGTGCTCTTTCTTCCCCCGGCCTTTTTCCTCCTCCTTTCACCCTTCCCGGCTGTCAAGCTGTATTAGTGTCCGATAGAAATAAGTCATTTAGAAGAGGCTCGATCGGCCAGCCCCTCAGCCCCGCTAAAAGCTCCAGGATTAGGTCCCCGGGGCCTTTGTCTCCGCAGCCCCCAGGATTAGGGGAGATTTACTCCGAGGAGAGAAAAAAGTAGTTATTTCATGGCACTTTCATGATGAAACCTGGCCAAAGCTGTGTTGGCTGGGGGGATTAGAGGCGCACAAAGAGTGTGCTTGTGTGTGACCCTCCCCGTCCCCGAGCTGCCACCACTGACTCATTCACTACCCCCTCTTTTCCAAGGATCATTTCCCCTTCTCAGAGCTAGCAGGGCTCCTTCAGGTCCACCTCCAGTTCCATGAAGGCATCTCCTGGATGCATCATCTTCAACCTCCACCCAACAAACTACCTTCATATTAATCAACTCATCTTTACCCGAATATAAAGGTTGAAGCTTCCACTGAAGGCACATACCCTATGGAAGCGTCATGCAGTAAGGAATCATATGCAGGAGAAAAGGAGAAGTTAGTGGATTTGGATCCCTCCTGTAGTGTCTAAAACCGCTTAAAGGGGGTTATCCTGTTCTTAGAGGATCCACTTACACATGCAGGGATTACAGGGAACAAAAGACAAAAGGCCAAGTCACGGTACTGACAACAGTCTCACCGCTGAGCAGGTGTTATGCAGGTTTAGTACCTTTTGTCACATAGCTGAGGGAATTACTGCTCAGTCGAATGTAAGGAAATGACAGTTCTGCTTTCTAACAGGGCTAAAAAATATCAAGTTTAAGTTGATTACAAAATCCCTTTATACTACTGTGGCTGCTTTTCCTTTTGATTGAATATGACCAAAATATTTAGAGACTTTTAAAACCTGCATATAAGACACCTCTATTGCTAAGTCTTTTTTAATTAGTCTATTATAACATCTCCTTATCCTGTTTAATCAAACTTTATAAAGCACTTCAAACAAGCAGAAGAGGACCAACAATTTGTGCAATTTGATTAGTTCAAAACAAATATATTTCAACACATAGAAATGCACAATACACATTTAACGAATATAAAAATGATGCTAGGGTAGATAGAGGAATTTTCAAAAGAGATGTGAAAACAGAAAGGACACCTGTCTGATTTCCAAGGGGAGACCACTCCACAATTTGGAAACAGCTACAGGAAGAGAATAATCTGTTAGCAGAGTGAAGAGCTGCGGATCTGAGGGAGAAGGTAGACATATA